CAAAAAAATGAAGGCTTTATAAAAGGTAGTGAAGGAAGACGGAGGTGCTCACACCTCCATCTTACAAAGCTACAGTCAAAAGTTGATGGAGTAAAAAGCAGAGGTTGAAGCATATTATTTAAAGTAACAGAGGCAAGCAATAGAAAAAAATCAAAGGATCGTCAAAGGTTGGAAGAGGAGGGAGAGAGGAAGGTATGAGCAATCACCTGTACTCAGAGCATGAAGAAATAATTTCTAAAGTTGATAAATCAGAAATAGCAATGAAAGTAACCATCGAAATAATACAAATAAAATGGTTAAAACTGAACGTCTCTGAGTAGAAAGAGGGAGACTGTTGAGTTTTTTAACAGATCTGATTGTACTATTTTACATTTGGTTATCTGTGTATGCATGCCTTATGTAATTTAAATTTTTGGAACGCAAAAACGAAACACGATTGTTTCAAAACTTAATGGTTGTAAAATGGAACTGGTCTGATGAAACTGCATATTACATATTAAAATGAAAACTAATGTCCAGCTAATTGCATAAATATTCAAACTGTCACGCCGAGGTTGGAAGACATATTGTATTGCGTATGCCAACTGTATTTGAAAAATTAAAAATATATATTTTAAAAAAAGAAAAAAAATAGAATGATGGGGTCAAAAGAAAGGCATATCTTACTGAATCGGAAAGGGAACACCATCAGGTTTTAGTATAAAGCAATGGTCAACAAATGTTTTTAACCAACAGAGTCCTGTTTTAAAAGAAATATTGCCCCAAAAGTGCAGTATGTAAAACAGATCCAAGGGAAACTTCTCTGGTTGAAATAGGAGTTAGGAGCCCCACCTAAGCAGTTTCCCCCTGGGGAAAAAGCCTCTGATGGAGATGATACCTGGGAGGTGATTAGGCTTGGGAAGCCAACCATGTGACAGCCATTCAGAAGCTATTGCATAACAGAAGCTAGTGCCCAAGGCATCACAGAATGACTAATCTAATGGGGACCAGTTGCCTTTGTGCAATGACTCAGTTGCAAAATAGCCATCTGAGAATCTGATTATTAAAAGACCCCGTTCCCCTGGGACCCTATCACCCAAGTTGAACTGACAACAGAGTTCACTGGCCTGCAGATGGACTCTGCAGAGTGACTCGCATTCACTAGCAAAACCATCTCTGACCAGCAGCTCACGACCTGTCTGTACAGGAGCCACAAGACAAAACTAGGATCTGATCATCACGTCACTCTCCTCCACGCTTTCCAGCACCGTGGCACGGATTTCACACGATTCATTTATTATTTCAAGAGGTAGGAGCATCAGTGTCATTTGAAAAGGTTAATCATGTTTGAAGAACAAGATGAGTTTATTTAAAACGCAGCCTCTCTGAGTTCCCAACACTCCCTGGTTTGCATCTTTTTTTAAAGGATCTATGACAAAAAGACATCTCCCACATCCTGCAGAGCCAGAGACAGAGATCTGGACACGTAGTGACATAAAGCTTCCCCATAAATCAGTAGTCAGGAAACATCCATTGCCCTAGCCTTGTCTTCTCACCTCACTCATTAAGTTCTTTGGATTTTTAAATGAGAGTAAGTCCATCATCAATTGGACGAGTTCATGAGAGGCGTTCTAGTCTCCCTGTTTTGCTGCCGATGATGATGATGATGATGATGATGATTACAACGACAACGACGGAAAAAACACTTATTTGTCAGGTACTGTTCTAAGAACTTTATATATGCTAACTAATTCATTCTAACCTATGCATGTATGAATTTTCTTTCAATGCCACCTCCATGAAATGACAGGTGCTGTCTAGCAAAAGAAACTCCTTTGTCTAATATAGTACTATCGAATCGAAATATAATGCAAGCCACATCCATAATTTTAAAATACCTAGTAGTCACACTTTAAAAAGAACAAAAAAATCTGGTGAAATCAATTTCGATAATATACTTTATTTAACCCACTGTATGCAACATATAATCAATATAAAATATTAATGAAATAGTTTACATTTTTTTTCATACTATCTTCAGAATCTAGTGTATATTTCACACTTCCGGCATACTAAATTCTGATAGGCTAGTTTCTACTGCTCAGTAGATGCACATTCAGTTAATTACCCTGATGATCTCCAACAGAAGGTGTGATTAGGAATGAGTTGTCCACTGTTCTCGTTGGACATATGAGAAAACTGAGGCCAGGAGAGCACCAGAAGGACTGAACCCAAATCCAGGCTCTGCCAGTCCCCGGTTGAGTGATCCTGGCCATCACATCTCACTGAATGTTAGTGTCCTCAGCAGGGGACAATCACCTATACTTTATGTAGGAGAATAAATGCCTACACTGGCAGGGGCCTAGTGCTCGCTCTGTCAGTCTGAGTCCAAGCGAGAGACGGAAAGCACAGTAAAGAATTATCACACTACAAACTTATTAGTCTATGGCCACGCCGCCCTGAACAAGCCCGATCCCGTCTGATCTCGGAAACTGAGCAGGGTCGGGCCTGGTTAGTACTTGGATGGGAGACCACCTAGGAAGACCAGGTGCTCTAAGCATTAGAAAAAAAAAGAATTATTAAACTACAAACTTATTAAACTAGAAAAAGTAAATACGAGATACAAGGAAACTTGTATGGTATCAGAAGGCTGACGGAGGTGGTACCCGAGGGAGGACAGATTTGGAAGGGGTGCGAATCTCATTGGAAAAGGTATCATTTAAGCCATCGAACAGCAGAGAAGTTAACTGCTTTAACCTGCTGGTCTGCTGCAGTCACCCCGTGAGTGGCAGGCACCTCTCCAGAGTGTAGCTGGGGGACAACCAGCAACCAGTGGTGCGGGTCTACGGAGAGGGTGCGAAAACCAGTTTGGGTGGGCTTCGCAGGGCCAGCCTGCCTCAGTGGGACCCCCGTAGGGCACAAGTGGGCTGTAAAGGGCTGGCAGAGGAAGCAGGGAGCATCAGCCCCATTATAGACCTTCGTTCAGTAGGCGTGCGACGTGGGGACGGACAGAGGAAAGCTGGAAGACAGACAGCATGGGTGGGGAGCCCTTCAGAAAGAGATCTCCATTGAGAGACCTGCGGAAAGCTTATTGCCAGGGCAGGCGGAGGCCTCACAGTCACTGAGGGACCAGGAATGCGGATAAATCACTGTACATCTCACACCCACTCCGCTGACCCACTAGTGCACGAGCCGGAAACTTCGGGAAAGCCTCTGGCCCCTGCAACATCGCTCTAAGAAACAGACTAAGAAAGACTAAGAAAGCTTAACACCTTGCTCACTGAAAAGGAGAGATGCTTAGAGGAATTCTGTCCATTCTCACAGAAGACGCGTTAAGGAGCCAATAAACGGATAATACGCAGGGATAGCCTGAAAGCTGCATTTTCTGGTCCTTAGTTCTCAGCCCTTTCTGCTATCTTAAATTGTACTGCTGGGGGAATTTTACATACTTTCTTAAAAATGACTGTCACACTAAGTGCTGGTCACTTTCCTCGCAGGTGCGTACAGGTTGACTCCACTAGGAAAGAAGTAGAAGGAAAAAAGACTGATAGGAATTTACCCTTTCTGAGCCTCAGTTTCCTCGCTGGGGTAATGGGCATCATACATCCTGGGTCACAGGAAGGACGGGATAGAAATTCATTTCCTTTCTTTCCAATGACGTGAGGTCAATCACTGCTGCCAATTCACACTTTGCTTTTTCTTATTCTCATCCAGGAATGAAAAAGTCAACTACGCGCGAGCGTCTTCACATCCGCCGTCCTTCATCGTCTTTATTCAGTGTTATAGGACAACTGTCATGTCACTTAACAAGTACTTAATTGTTTTCTTACCACCACACTTGTGATCTGAAAGGTTCTTCTCTCCTTCAATTACATACTGTCCCAATTAAGTATTTATGTTAATGAGACCCGAGATGAACCGAGTGGAGTCCAGCCTCACTGGGCTATTCAAAGAAGTGACTTTGCGTGCATGGCAGTCACTCAAATAACGCCCATGTCGACCTGACCGATGGTGCCAGGTGGTGGAAGCACATCCACTAGTGTGCTCTTCCTTGTCAGAACCTGCTACTTTTATATCCAGGATTCAAACTACCTGTCATGATATTCTTGATAACGACCACTGAATGGCATATTCTCAAAAGGGCCAGATGCTTGGTCAAGACGCTACACTGAGGTCTGGTAGACTATCTTGGTTACATGGTGCGTACATATTGGAGCTCACAAAACAGGCCTACGCCCAGCTGATAAGAATGAATTTCACAATTATTCATACCCCTTTAGGAGGTGCTAGGAAATCAGAGATACCTGTGAGTGGTCACGCTGGAAAAAGATCGGACATTATCTGACTCAAGGCTATCCAATACAAATTTCTACGATAAGAGTAATGTTTTATATCTGTGCTGGCCAGTACAGTGGCTACTAGCCACATGGGGCTACCGAGCACTTGAAATGTGACTAGCATGACTGAGAAAGTGGATTATTAATTGGATTTTATTTCTATAGCTATTGGTTATCATACTGGACAGCACAGATCTAGATACCATGGCTTAATGGCATGTGATATTTAAAGCTAAGAACCTCAGGTCTACATCCTGGCTACTATCTGTACTGACTATATAACTTTGGTCATGTTCTTTACCTTGTCCAAACCACAGGCCTCATTTGTAAATGATGATAAGACCAGAACCTCCCAGGAGAATGAATGTGAAGTTTCTAACCCAATGCTCAGAGCGCAGTAAGCACTCTGGCTTTTTTTGAATCAAAATTATTGGGGGTGACAAAGTAGTCTTTAAATAACAACTATCATTATCAAACTTCTCATTTTCAAGATAGAGAAACTGTCGGGTCCACAGTTACATAGCCAGCTGGAAGCACAGCCAGGAGCCAATTGATTTTCTCATTTATTTGATGATGCGTTTTCTTCTAGAGACAAACCTCTCTGACCCCAGAAGAGTAGAGCGGTAGCCCAGACAAGTATTCAATGGCCGTAAAAAGCATATTCTACACATGGAGAAAAGGTACCTTAGTGAAGCCTATTTGCTCCTTCCGGAAATTTTCCAGGGGTTTGATCAGCAAATCACTAGCATTGTGAACCTAGAAGAAAGAAAGAACACACAAATCGCCTTTTAGTTTAGCAAGGTTCAGATTCGAGATTCCTTGTCGCTGGGGCATTCCCTAGCGATACACCATCCTGCAAAGCGGTGACTCGTTTGTTAGCCGGCTGGCTTTTCTCGTCATCTTTTTTCCCAGATTGGTCTCTTAAAATTGAACACTTTAAGAGGAAACGAGAGAAGGGAATTAGGGGTATTTTCCTATAATTTTACCAGTACTCTGATCTGATTCGTGTCCAGAAACAGATACAGGAGGCCCGAAGTCTGTGTGGTAAAAAGGAGAGAATGGGAATGATAAATACATATAAAGGTCAACTGCACTATTTCATGGGAGGCAAACGAGCTAGCGGTAATAGCGTAAGGATAAATGCCAGGATATATCACTGCCAGTCCTGTCCTGGTGTGTCGTAAAGCCAGAATACTTCCTTCAGAATCTGGAGTGTATTACGGTAGCACAGAGAACTCTAGACCAGGCCTTGAAATTACCTATCGATGCTCAGAAACTGATAAGAACAGCTTGTTCAGGTGCTGAAATATCGGCACCGATATGGTTCTGGAGATATAAAACCATCATACCCAACCTGGACCTTGCCCAGTGGGCAGGGAGAGATACACAAAGCTTTGTCTTCATATAAAACCTCTTGCGAGATTGCATCTGCCCAAGGCAACAAGTGTGGTCGGTTCCTGCACGTTATTGGAAGACCATAGAGAATGCACACAAAGGGCTAGATTTCGGGGCTCATTGCATTCATCTCGATCTATTACAAGACCAGGAAATGAGGGATTGGCTTCCTCGTCAGATGAGACATAAAGTATCAGTTAAGTCAAGATAGATCTTCCCGACAAAAAATGGAAGATAGCAGAAAGCGAGTTTGACCAGTCCTGAATTCTCCAAACTAAAAAGCAATATTTAAACTCCCGCCACAGTCTACGGCCATGCCACCCGAACAAGCCCAATCCTGTCTGATCTCAGAAGCTAAGCAGGGTCGGGCCTGGTTAGTTCTTGGATGGGAGACCACCTAGGAAGACCAGGTGCTGTAGGCGTAAAAAATAAAAATAATTAAAAAAATAAAGGATTGTAAGCTGACAAGGTCCTTGCAATCTGTGAGGTCAACCAAGGATTGCTTCGCCTAAAAAATAAACAAACAAACAACCACCACAAAGCATGCAAAGTGGGGCGTTAGGACATATTTTATCCAGGTCCTGCAGGCACTTTGGGTCTTCTGTTTTGAATCCAGGTATGACCCAAGGCTCAAGTAAATGGGCAAACTCTCATCCAATCAAAGCTCAACTAGCTTCCCTGGTGTCAAAAATACAGACATATGTGACTCTACACGTCCGTGGACTGTGAATTACATGCTGTCAACTTTGCGTCCACCTGGAAACAAGCTACGCCACCGGTGTCGTTGACCCAGTACGAGGAGTCATTTTTCTGCTTTTGGGAGGTTTTAAGTCATGGCCACAAATTCTGTGACACTCTTCCCGATGAGAGGTGAGGTCTCTGTCCCCTCTCCCTCGAATATGAGTGGGTTTGTTTCTGCTTTGAACCAATACTATGTGACTCGCCACTTCTAAAGACAGTAGTAGTATGTGTCAAGCCTCTGTGTAGATATTCAGCTGAGCCCTTGCACACGCGTCTGCGGGCACAGTTGCCAGGTTCTTATGTTCCAAGGAGTTTTCTTGCATAAGCAGGTGTGCGAGCAACTTGTCACACGGGATCTGTAAGGCCACTGCTTTTTAGGCATTTGGCGCTGTCTCAGTCTAGGAAAGGAGTGTGTGACTGGCTGAGATCGGAGTCCACAGTCTTCCCTTACTCACACCGGCAACATGGCTCCTAGTCGCCTTTTCCTCCCTTTGACACTTATGACTTATGATACTTCTTTCTGCCAGGACAGAGAGCAAGAAATGTAGGAAACGGTCACACTGAAGCTTGGCTCGATTTTTTCATTCCGTTTTCCCCTTAAACACCTTAGAAGTCTAGCAACTACTTATTCTGTGTCAAGTGTAATTGGAACTAAATGAATTAAAAAAGAAGTCTACCACTATTCATAAAAGCCCTCTACCTAGGTAAACTTGACCTTTACACCCCTTTCTGATCGCCACATCCATTTTGTGAGCTCTCAAAGAGAAACGCCCCTGTTATTTCGGGGTAGGAACCCCAGGGTGATACATGCCATTCTCAACACAGTAGTGAGTTTACCTAATCAGGTTTACGCTGACTGAAGCCCAAATTGACAGCAATTGGGCATTTAGCGAGAATGAGATGGCATTCAACCCAGCAGCGCAAAATTGTTCAGGAAGGTTAACCGTTTACCAAAAAAGACATCGAGGGTCCAGCGGTTCAAATATTATGGGCCTCTTTCGGTCATTCTTGGCTGTCCTCAAAGACGGACCTCGAACTTAGCCTATAGAGTCCCCTTCGAAGTCATAGAGGCACCTAGGCAAGCCTCCCATCTTTAGTCAAACAGGAAGTCTGTCATTCAGACTTTTAAAGGTCACCTTCTGAGGCACAACAGTATCCCTAAGGGTCGTGCTCAAGAAATCACAGCTGGGATGCTTCTCTTCGTTTCTCCTATCCATACTTCCTTCCACGATTTTTTTTTATTATTTATTATTATTTATGACTACAGCACCTGGTGTTCCTAGGTGGTCTCTCATCCAAGTACTAACCAGGCCCAACCCTGCTTAGCTTCCCAGATCAGACATCGGGCTTGTTCAGGGTGGCATGGCCATAGACCATGGACCGTGGCTCCACTGGGGCGCGAACCCAGGACCTCCTGCGTGTAAGGCAGACATGCTCACCGCTACACTATGGAACCATGTCCTCCTTCCACAATTTTAATTCACTTATGAGAATGACTAGACATTTGCCATCCTCACACACCACAGCTGGGAACTTCCTTCCTGTTCTTCTAATGCTTCTTTTGGCCTCTTCTTATAGAAGGGACAAAAAGCTGATTTTTTTTTTTTTTGGATAACATCTCCCACGTTATCCATGTTGGGGTGTGGGAGTCCTTTTACCTCAGTTCCAGGAAATGGGAGAGGTGCAATGAAGCAATGAATTCTTGGCACGAAGTGAAAGGCCCTCACTGAGCCGAACCTTCACAGCACCCCCGGAATTAAATGAGAAATAGGAAGCCAAGACTCAATACACGATTGGAGAGCTGAGGGGACAAAAGGGCATGACATAATTAAAGACAGAAGAAAATGAGTCAGTCCTGTGGACAAGAGCCAGCAAGAAGGGTGAGAAAAACAACATCTCAAAAGATGAATCCTACTTCAATATTTTAGCGCTTTGTAATTGGATAAATAAAAGAGATCAAGAAACAACTAGGGCTGAAGGGAGTACGGCCGAGCTTTCCAATGGGGCTGAATGAAATGGGGGTGAATGCCTTTGAGATCAACGCTGGCAGCAGTCCACGAACTCTTCGGGCAGAAGAAAATGTTTAGTAGAGTGAGGATTAACCGGTGGGCCATCTACCAGGCTCTGTGGAAACTACTCGTATTGGTCTCTCTCGTGTCCTCAGAAGCAAATCTCTTGAACTAAGAAAATTCCCAAGTGAAATGTCCACAAGCAGGATCTTGGGGGCAACGAAGGGGAACTAGAAACAACACACAGAATCGGTGTTTTTTGCTATTAATAAAACACTACAGTATTCATTATATCACGTGGGGTATTTATAACAACGTTGGGAGGTGGGGATTATTTTCCTCATTTTACATATAAAAAGTCTCACCAGACTCAGAGAAGTACACGACTTGTCTTAAGTCAACAAGGAAGTTAGCGGCACCGCCATGATTAGAGCCTAAGTCTCTAGTTCCCCCGCCTCCAAGCCAACATCAGTGTTACTTTCTCTGGGAGCCTAGATGAAATGAGAACAGTATTCTGAGAAGTCAGCACTGCACTGCTAAAAAGGAAGAGTGATTACAGATTCAAGAACTCTTGCTAATGGAATAAATGGGCATAACAAACCTGAGCTGCCAGGAGGAAGTCATCTCATGAGAGAAGGCAAGGTACACCTGTTTGTTGTCCTCTACGAGGTTCCAACAACCCGAGGAAAAAATGGGCGAACGACCTGAACAGACACCTCACCAAAGATGATCGACAGATAGCAAAGAAGCATACGAACGTCTGCTCAACATCATATGTTATCAGGGAAATGCAAATTACAACAGCAATGAGATACCACTACACACCTATTAAGATGGGTAAAATCCCAAGCTGACAGCATCAAATGCTGGCAAGGATGTGGAGCAACAAGAACTTTCATTACTGATGGAAATGGAAAATGGCACAGTCATTTCGGAAGACAGTTTGGCAGTTTCTTACGAAACTAGATACACTCTTATCACATAATCCTGCAACTGCACTCTCTAGAATTAGTTGAAAATTTATAGCCACACGAAAATCTGCACACATGTTTATAGCAGCTTTATTCATAATTCCCCAAATTGGGAGCAACCAAAATGTCCTTCGTGGGTGAATGGATAAACAAACCAGAGTACATCGATATAATGGAAGACATATGTCTCAAGGATAAAAAGATATAAGCTATGAAGCCATGAAAAGACTTGGAGAATCTTTAAATCCATATTGCTAAGCAAAAGAAGCCAATTTGAAAAGGCTACATACCATACGACTCCAACGATATGACACGCTACAAAAGGCAAAACGGTAAAAGGAAAGACAAGTGTTTGTCAGGGGTTCATACAAAGGGGAGGGGAGAAGGGGTGAATAGTTTGAGAACTGGGGATTTCTAGGGCTGTGAAAATATTCTGTATGATGATACTTTCTTGGTGAATACATGTCATTACAAATTTGTCAAAACCTACAGAATGTTCAACACAAACAGTGGACTGTAACGAAAGCTATGGACTTTAGTTAATAACACTGTGTCAGTATTGGCTCATTAATTGGAACAAATGCACCCCACTTGCAAGATGTTAGAAATAAAGGAAACTGTGTGTGGAAAGGGGCAGGAAGAGAAAGGAAGTAAACGAAATCTCTCTGTCCTTTTCACTCAAATTTTTCCGTAACTATGAAAGTCTATTAATTTTCAAAAATGTACGGAAAATGTAAGGTAAAAAGTTTTCACATACATTTAAATAAAACAGTAATTATTATTTTCTGGAAGCAGAGAAATAAATGGATAATGTCCTTAAGACCACTGAAAACCATAATTTTGGTTGAAATATTCAACAGCCCAATCAAACACTCTCTGAAATCCTTTCTCAATGAAATCAAAGGAACAGGGTTTCTGCACTAATTTCTCTCGACTGGATGCTAAACTCCTGGAGTGGGAGCTTGAGAGAATCTATTTCCTGTCTTTACAGAATCAGGCAGCTACGAGGCAAAAACCAAAACAACAGAGCATCCGTGTAACCAATGAAGACAGGAAAGATCCCCAACATCAGCGACGATCTCAGCCCCAGGCCCAGTGTTGGTAACCTACCATCATCATCCTCTCATTTTCCACTTCGTTGAGCAATTCAGCAAATTCCTTGAAGGATTCAGCTGGAAGGATAAAATGAAAAACAAACCAAATTAATTACGGTACTTGATAGGCGAGTGGGCAGAGATCTGTGCGACAGGAGGTAGAACCAGCGCCCCAAGTCCGCGTGGCCCCAGGACCAAGGTGCCAGGTCTCAGGCCAACAGGAGAATGCGTACAGCGCCCCGTAGAATGTCTCTTTTCTCCTTTTTCTTTTTGCCAATCCCACCACCCAAGAGGTATTCTTCCTCCAGTTTTACTCACATAATTGATGCACAATATTGTGTAAGTTTAGTCTACAGCATGATGACTTGACTTAAGTATACTGTGGAACGCTTACCACAATAAGTTGAGTTAGCATCCATCGCCTCGCGTGCTTTTTTCCCCTCGCGATGAGGACTTTTAGAATCTACTCTCTTAACGGCTTTCAAATATCCCACAGAGCAGCATTAACTACAGTCACCATGCTGCACATGACATCTCCAGGACTTATTTATAACCGGAAGTTTGCACCTTTGACCCCCTTCACCCAACTGCTCCACCCCCTACCCCCAGCTCTGGCAACCACAAATCTGACTTTTTTTTTGACTTTGGTTTGTTTAGATTCCACATATAAGTGAGACCATACAGTATTTGTATTTCTCTGTCTTATTCATTTCACTTAGCATAATGCCCTGCAAGTCGATCCACGTTGCCAAAAATGGCAGCTTCCTTCTCTTTTATGGCTGAATAGTATTCTAGCAGATATATACATATATATAAATGTATACATATATATATGTATACATATGCACATACATGGAGATTATGATATATACACATATAATCTGTTAATGGACACTTAGGTCATTTCCATGTCGTGAATATTACAGATAAAGCCGCCATGAACATGGGATGCAGATCTCTCTTCAGCATTGTAATTTCATTTCCTTCACATAAATACCCCAAAGTGGAATCGCTGCATTTTAAGTAGTTCTACTTTTTAATTTTTTTGCGGAAACTCCATACTCTTTTCCATAGCAGCTGCACCAATTTACACGCCCACCAGCAGCGCACAAGGGTTGCCTTTTCTCTCCATTCTCGACCAGCCCTTACCTCGTGTCTTTTTGCTATAGCCATTCTGACAGGTGTGACATGATATCTCATCACGGTTTCGATTTGTGTGTCCCAGATGACCAGTGATGCTGAGCACCTTTTCATGTACCTGTTGGCTATTTCAATATCTTCTTTGGGAAAATGTCTATTTGAGTTCTTTGCCCATTTTTAAATTGGATTATTATTATTATCATTATTATTATTATCATTATTATTAGCTATTGAGTTGAATGAGTTCTTTACATATTTTGGATATTAACCCCTTATATAGATGATTTGCACATATTTTCTCTCATCCCATAGGTTGCCTTTTCATTTTGTCGATTATTTCTTCTGCTGTGCAGAAGCTTTTTAGTTTGATGTAGGTCCCACTTGTGGATTCTGTTGTTGATACTTGTGCTTAAGGCGCCATATCCAAAACATCACCACCAAGACCCACGTCAAGAGGCTTTTCCGCTGTGCCATTATTCCATTGAGTATTCTTGGCTCCCTTGTGAAATATTAGTTGACCGTACATGTACGGGTTTACTTCGGAGCTGTCAATTCTGTTCCATTGATCTGTGCGTCTAATATTAAGCCTGAACCCATATCCCTGTGTTCCAGTGTTATTTCTCCTCAAGTTCCTGAAGATCTTTTGTGGGACTGCAGAAGGCGTGTGCTATGTTAGAAAGTACATTACATGGGGTGATAGACGTGGAGGATTCGGGTTTGGAGGGCAAGATGGAGAAACAGAAGGAGCACGAACTTCAGAGACAGAACTTGGATCTGCAGCCTCAGCCAATCATCTTCTTGCTGCGTGACTTTTGGCTTAGTGACGATCCCTTTGAGCTGCAGCTGCCTGACTTGTCAAATAAGCATGACGATATACCTGAGAGTGTCGCTCTAAGGACTAAATGAGAAGGGAAATTAAAGGTAGAGAGAGTGCCAACACACGGCAGGCAGCGGGTATTACTCCCTTTCCCCCATCCCAGTTTTCTAGTCTTCTGGTTCCAGTTCTGCAAGGTGACTAGGGAAATCACTTCTCCCTGGACTTCTATTTCTTCATATACTAAACAAACAAACGTACACACATACAAAAGCTACATTAAGCTCGACAGTCTTTAGTGTCCCTTTAAATTCTAACTATCTTAAAGTTCCCAAATTCTCACCAGAAACAAGAAGAGTATTCTGAAGTGGAATCTGAATAAAAGCGAACATACCAGAAGCGTGAAGAGAAACAAATGTGTCCATAGTTATATCCTTCGATCACAAATAGGTTTATTTCCCTTCCTAAGAGAACTGGACAACGAAAGCAGCACTCCTAGCACCGAGGAAACAAGTCTGCGGTCAACACGGGGCACAAGACTATGGCATTTCTTTCTTCTGAGGATTAAGTTGCTGCACATGCCCAGGGAAATCACCTTGGCAAACACTGCCAATTAAAAGCTCGACCTCAGCACGGAGAAGAAAAACACCCTATTCAGAAAGAGTAAACAGCAAAAAACGCAAATGTTCACTGACCTCCTGTCCCCAAATATTTTATACTACGAAAGGAGTCAGAGAGAGATTTTTTGTTGTTGTTATTCTGGCACATTTCCAAGCAAGATCAGTTTGCCTCTAAAGGAAATGTGACAAGTACCAGGTTAGAATATTAAAAGGAAAAGATTAATCTCTTGAAACGCAAGTGCGCCAAGCCATTTGACTGAGAATTTAACCTTCACAGTAAGTTTATCAGGGACATTTAATCATCCCTTATCTGAACAGGAGAAAACTCAGGCTCACAGAAGCTAAGCAACTTGTTCACGCTCACACAGGAAGTTAACGGCAGAGCTAGGTGTCACCTTCGCACCCGGCTTGCTGCCAGAGCTGAGATCTTACACTGTCACACTGCCCACACATTTCCAGGTAGAGGTAGGCAAAGATTAGGTGACTAAACACCACCTGAACAGATTCTCAAACAGAGACAGGAGAAGCTACTACTACCAGCAGCTGGGCTTTTAATGAGTCAGACTTCATCATTCTCGAAGAAACTCCAAATTTGACAATATTAAGTATGTCTCAAAACGAAGTTTTCCTAAAAGACGACATCGCTTTTAAAATCGAGATATTATTTACATATCATACCATGCACCATTTGAAAGAGTACAGCCTAGTCGATTTTAGTGTTTTCTAAAAGTCGTGCAACCATCGCCACTAGATCCTTTTCATCACTCCCCATTTCCACCTCCCCCGACACTCAGACAATCACTCATCTACCTCCCGTCTCTATGGTTTTGCCTAATCTAGACATTCCACATAAATGAAATTCCACAATATGCAGTCTTCTCACTTAGCCTAATTCAAGGTTATTCCATGCTGTACTAACAACCCTGTTCTTTTTATTGCCACATATTGTCCCACTGTATGGCTATATCACATTTGATTAACCATCAACTGATGGACACTTGTGTTGTTTTGATTTACTTGCTATTATGAATAATGCAATCATAATCATTTGTGTACAGATTTTCGTGTGCACATGTTTTCGATTATTTGGGGAACATACTGAAGCATAGATCGCTGGATCATATAACTCTTTGTTTATCTTTCTGAGGGACTGAAATTTCCAAATGATCTACACCTTATATTACCAAAGCGATGTATGAGAGTTCCAATTTCTCCCCGCCTTGCCAATATTTCGTATCGTCTGTCCCGTTGATACCCACAACCTTAGTGAGTCTGAAGCGGTATCTCGATGTGGTTTTGTTTTACCCGAAGTATCAATGATACTAAGAATCCTCATATGTGCTTATCGGCCATTTATATTATCTGCTTTGGATAAATGTCTATCTAATTATTTCGCCCATTTCCTAATTGGGTTATTTGTGTTTATTGTTGAATGGTAAATGTACTTTATATATTCTGTACATAAACCCTTATCAGATAGACGACCTGCAAAATTTGCTCACATTCCATGGGCTGTGTTTTCGCTTTCATTACGGTGTCCTTTGAAGAATAAAGGATTACAATTTTGTTGAAATCTAATTCATCTACCCTTTCTGTTACTTGTACATTTGTTGTCATATCTAAGAAACCACTGTTTAGTCAAGGTTATGAAGATTTATACCTTTATTTTTTCTTCTAAGAGATTTATAGTTTTAGCTCCTACTTTTAGCCTCTTGATCCACTTTGAGTTGCCAACTTTGTTATTGATTTCTAATTTCATTCTACTGCGTTCAGCAAACATCTTTTGTATGATTTTGATTCTTTAAAATTTATCGAGACTTATTTTCTGGCTCAACCTATGATCTATTCTGGAGAACATTCCATGTCCACATGAAAAAAATATACTCTACATTTCTCGGATGGAGTGTTCTGAAAAATGTGTGTCAGATATAGTTGATTTATGGTGTTGTTTAACTCTTCTATTTCCTTGGCCTTCTGTCCAATTGTTCTTCAATTCATTATTGAAAATGGGGCGCTGACATCACCAACCATTACTGGCGAGTTGTCTAATTGTTCTTTTAATTCTTTAAGTTTTGCTTCATGTATTTTGGAGTTCTATTTTTGGATAGATAGATATCTGTAATTGTTCTGTCTTCTTGAATGACTGACTCTTGTCATAATAAAATGTCATTCTCTATTAACTATTTTTGTCTTAAAGTCTATTTTGTCTGATAGTAATACAGCTGCTCCAGTTCTACTGTATACTGTTTGCATTGTATATCTTAGTCCAACCTTTTACTTTCAACTCGTTTGTGTTTTTGAAGGTAATGAATGTATGACTCTTTAGACGGAGATCAATTGGATCATGTTTTTGCATCCATTCTGCCAATCTGTGCCTTTTGATTGGCGTGTTTAATCTGTTTGCATTTAATTAATTACTGATAAGATAGGGTTTCCATTTTTCTATTAGTTCTCTAAAAGTCTTATGCCTTTGTTCCTCAATCCCTCATTACTGCTTTCTCTTG